TAATTTTTATTGCAGTTGCTAGCTAACAAATAATAATTTCTATAGGCCTGTCAATGGGTTGGGGCCGGGCCAAAACTTAGTGTTCCAAATCCAGACACGCTAAGTATAAAAATGTATTTTTGTGCTTTTACAATTTGTAAATCGGATAAGATTTTATCAGATAAAATGTAATCATATAAAAGTTATTTGATTTATTTAACCACCTAATTATCTCTTATAAAAATCAAATTACGTGATCTTTTTTAAAATATAAATATAAGTACATTTGAAAAATCTACATTGGTGGTACCTTTCAAATTTTAAAAAAATAGATTGTATTAAAAACGTTGTATAGTATTAAAAATATAAATAAAAACCAAATAAATCTCAGTTGGAAACGCACATCCCTACATTAGTAGCTTTAATAAATTAAAAACACACTACATTCGGAATTGTGGATTCCGACAACAACTACGCCTGGCAACCCGACTATTTGATATGGGTAACAATGAAAAATACTACTCCGTAATAGATAATGCGAATTGAACTACTTATGCAATTCAAATATGAATATAATGAATTTTTCTAATGAACTACCCACAACCAATTATAAATTTGTATTTGTAGGTGATTATTAAATTACCCATCTATCATAGACGAAGTATTATATATTCAGAGCTTTTTAGAAACTTCTATTTTCAGCCTATCAGCCAAATGTTTTACCAAATTTGTAATTTTTGACTTCACGCGATAAACTATGTAATAATAAGAATAAGTAAGGTTGAAGTTATTTTTTAATTTTCTAAATTAGCCGAAGTTAATGCAAGGGACAATTTTAGATATCCTTTTGATGTAATTTTTTCTTAATTTAATTAATGCATACTCCCTCCGTCCCATTTATATTGTCCCATTTTACCTTTTCGGGAAGTCCCACTTAAATTGTCTCATACCATATTCGGCAAAGTTTGTGTGGCTCTAAATCATTCTTACTTTATCAATTAATATCAACCACACAAAGCCACTTTTCTTAATAACCGTGTCACCCTCTTCCGTCCCAATATAAATGGGACGGAGGTAGTACATTTTAATCAATTCAACTATTTCATCCAGAATTTCATAAATTTGAGCATATTGAGCCGATTAAGTTAATTGTAGTGTTATCAAACTAACCTTTACACTTTTGTCCATATCAAGGTTATTGCGGCCGATGGGGTTTGATGCGGCCTGATGCCACCACGTTTTTGTTTTGTTGCGAATTTTGCCGGTGAATCGAAATGTATATCACGGCTATTGCGGCCTGATGTGGTTGGGCTGCGGACCACAACCACATAATTGTGACCATAACATGTGTTTTGGTTCATAATTTAAAATCAGTCTCCATACTCTTTTCACCAGGTTTATTTTGTTACTCCATCCGATTTTGTAAAACACATTTTACTCTTTGTCTGATAATATATATATTTTTTCCTAAATTAACACTGACTTTTTATTTCTCACTTTGTTTATTATCTATCATTTCATTCACTTCATTTTGAATGCGTACTACACTTTTTTACTTTTTGCGTGTTTAAAAAGTAAAACAACTACTTTACCTTTATTTTTTCAACATGCGCCAAATAAAAATGTATATTAAATTAGAAATTGAACCGTGGTGGTTACGTTTACGATCCCCCCAATAACTCTACATTTCGATAAAAAAAAGTTCTTAATGTGGATATATTTATCATCTATATGTCCAATTATGCAAGTGAGTAAAGTTACAGGTTTAATAGCAAACACATCCAAAATTAAAGTTATAGGACTAAACTACTAAAGTAACATATCTCAAAGTTTTTTCGTATCCCAAAAGTCTTTTTCAATTATTTTTCTTAATTGATTAATACAATATCATTTTATTCTTTAATACACTCCGTACTAAGTATAAGATTGTAATCATTTTATTCTCAAATTTTGATAGTTGATTTATAATCACTTTAGATATGCGATCATTTGTGTTTCAATGGAATTTTAGCATAGTTTGTAGATATATAATTTTTGTAAAGTAAATTGAAAAGAATTAACTTAATGAGTTAAACAATTATTTTAAGGAATTTTATCAATTCAGGACCCGAAAGATAGACGAATTATCAATCCGGGACCTGAAAGATAACATGCATCGATATAGGACCCGGATGATGAAAAACTATCAATTTAGGATCTGAATGATTGAAAACTATCAATGTAGGACCTAAATTGTCATAAATTTTATTATTTTTTTTATTTTGAAAACTTTAAATATTATTTAGTTTTATTAAACTAATAAACTTTTGTGAAGAAAAGTTTATCAAAAATTAGTAATGGAATTAATAAAAAATTAAATAAATCAAAACCTATAAAATGTTAGGTCCTAAATTGATAGTTTTCCATCATTCGGGTCTTGTACCGATACGTTTCAGCTTTCGGGTCCTGAATTGATAAATAATCTATCTTTCGGGTCCTGAATTGATAAAATTCCTTATTTTAATGGTAATGTTAACCATTATGGTATTTGTATTGAATGATTTTTTCAATCTGGCCGAGCCATGAAGAGTCCTGTTCTATTGGCGGTTACATGTTAATTTCTTTCTTAGCTATTAATTAGCCATAAAAAGTGGAACTATTTAATGCTTCCTAGCTTTTTTAGCCGTGATATTAAGTGTGGGTTAAATGTGATGTTATTTATCTCTTTGTTAACCAATGAGAGAGTGACAAATAAGTTATTCATAACTCAACTTTACTATATAAAACAATAGATTTGTATTTGGAATTGGAAATTCCGACTATGTTTTCTTTTTTGGAGTTTTTGGGTGAACCCTAATACAATCAGAATGAAGTCTTCCGAATGAAGTCTTCAGAATGAAGTATTATTCCCGCTTTTTGGCACTCCATGTAAAGAACTCCCGTGTCTATTTTTTCATCTATCAGGCATACTCTCAATAATACTCCGTACTTTTATATGAATATTATGTTCATATGTTGACTGACCCTTGACCCGATCCTTTGCCCAGATCACATCCTGGTCCGATTTTGAAAACATAGGCTATCATCCCAATGAATACATAGGTAGTATTAATTGTTTGAATTGCAGGTTGGAGGAGCTCGAACCACACGTGGATGAAAATCTCTCCAGTTTTTATTAGGTCATAGCTTCAAATAAAGATAGCTCTACAAAAATTTTAATCTGTAAACTGCATGGGATATTATGGAAAAATGCCCCTCAATACTTATTAAAGTGTCATTCTAGAGAGACAAATATGTGTCAAATGTTTGATCTGTTGAAGTCTTGTCTGACCTAAATTGGTCTAGTAGATTTTGTATTTCTATGTATTTTACAACTATATATCAAAGTTTAATTTGTTTAGGCTAAAGGGTCAAATAGGCCCCTGAACTAACTTAAAGTGTTTAATTAGCCCCTTATATAAGAGGTCCTGCTCGGCCGTCGCCAATTGGGGCGGTTCCTTGTGGAATTTTTTGATGAAATTTTTTGAACATCTTCTTCAATAAGTCTAGTTTACTCATACCAAATTTAAGCTAAAAGTTCAATCGGGAAGGCAGTCAAATGATTTTTTGAAGATAACTACAAAGTTAAACAACGCAGTACATTTCGGAAAATCATTTGACTGCCTTCCCGGTTGAATTTTTAGCTGAAATTTGGTATGGGTAAACTAGACTTAATGAAGAAGATGCTCAAAAAAAATTTATCAAAAAAATCCACCGGTAACCGCCCCAATTAGCGACGGTCGGGCAGAACCTCCTATATAAGGGACTAATTGAACACTTTAAGTCAGTTCAAGGGCCTATTTGACCCTTTAGCCATTTGTTTAAACCTGTGTTGAGACTGAAATCAGTCCAAATAAAAACATCCTACGTGAGCATTGAGAAGATCAATGGCTCTTCGTTGAGTGGTATACATTGCTATGGTCCTTCAGTGAGCATATTTTAATAGGTTGTAGGCTTGTAGCATGCAAGTGTATAAACTTGGAGGAAAATGTTACTCTTTTTATCCATTCTCCTTGTTAAAATCTTGGGAAGAGAAAAGGACCCGCAAAGCAAGATTTTAACATATTCCTCAATAAAGAAAGATAGCATACTCAGATTACTCACTACATGCTAGTCACATTTGGGCAGCCTCCTAAACCCAAAAACATGAAATAAATAATAAGTAAGCAATCAAACAAACAAAAAATGAAGCATGAATTCAAAAAACTTCAACTCAACTATAGTAGAAATTAAAGTGCACAAACTTTTTTGAAGCACCATATTATGATGACTATATCTTATGTGTTCACTTTTACATTTTAAAAATATCTCATGTATATAATAAATGAATTAAAGAAACCCCATTTAAGGACTATTATATTATGCAGATTCATAAATCATTATGCAACCTAATATCAACAACATTTGGCTAATGCACTGATATTCAAAGAGACCACATAATTCTAAAAGTTAATACTTCGTATATAACATAATATAACATATGCATATTACATCAAGAATAGTGAAGCTTGATACAACATTACAACATGTGCAGATTATTGAAGTTAAAAATAACACCTACTTCCAGTGCATTCTATTAATATTTTTATTTTATTTTTTAGGTATGAAGTCCAAATTAATACTTAAAATGGTTAGCTGAAATCCTGTCAATCCAAACAAATGGCATTCAAAGAGAGGTCAGCCACATATTGTCTTTCTTTCTCCGGGAAAAGGACCAAAATTGACACCAAGGTTTTTAATGAATCTCGTATATGACACTGAGGTTTATGATGGACCAAAAAAACACAAAATAAAACCTTTACCTTAACTATTAGCCACCCTCTAACTGGCCCGTTAAACATCTGTTTCCCCCTAACCCCTAACTAACACTGCGCATAAAAAGACCCCCCAAAATTTTATCCCCAAACCCTACTTCATTATCCCCAACCTATTATGCAGACGTATGTGCAGAGGAAACCATAGCAATGGGAGATAGGTCTTCATCATCAAGGTCTGCAGGGATACAAAAATCATCCTCCATTGATTCAGTCCAGTGGGGAACGAATATTGAGACGCAATATGGTGGGGGCGAGGTTTTGTAAATGTAGGAGTCGAACTGCAATCCCTGTGAAAGCTCGAGTTTGGACTTCATGGATTGATAAAAATCCAGGGAGACGGTTTTATGGTTGCCCATTTTATGAGGTATTTAATTATGAAATTTTTAAAATGGTGTCATTTATCTCATTTTGATGTTTTTCGTATTAATGTCTGCAGAAGGATGGTTGTGGGTTCTTTGAGTGGTATGATGAACCTCTAACTGATAGGGCCAAACATGTTATCAATGATCTAAAAATGGAGAATAGAAGGCTTCACAGTACAATAATGAGACTAGAGGAGGCCATACGTGCAGGGGAGGCCATAACTGCAGGTGGGGAGTTTGATGAAACACCAATTCCAGAATATTAGCATACCTTTAAACAAAACATGGTATTTGAGGTTGAAGAGCTTAACCGTACAGAGATTGCAGAACATTTGGAGTTACATAGAGGAGCAAATTTGAAGAGGAATTATGTGATTGTATTGATGTTATGTGCCCTTGTTGTACTCATATGTATGATTTTAGGTTAATCATGTAAAAAGTATTCTGTTGTAATCTTTACCATCATTGATGGACAATGGAGTAGCTTCTTTAGTATGTATGCATTTGGTTTAACATTAGTATGAAATGACTTTGTATTTGGAATTCATTTGTGTTAATTGTTGTGTGTTTCCTATCTTATTCTTTGATTATACAAGTGTTCAGCTGGAAAAAAGACCTGAAGTTATGTTCAGCTGAAAAAAATACATGTTCTGTCAAAACAAATGGAGGTCTATATTGCTCAAAACATGAGGTCTTTTTTAGGTTGTATACCAGACCTATTCTGCCAAAATGAAACCTGGTCTTCTTCATTGTGTTATAGAAGACCTGCAACCCCAAATACGAGACCTATTCTGCCAAAATGAAACCTGGTCTTCTTTATTGTGTTATAGAAGACCTGCAACCCCAAATACCAATACATACCAGACCTGAAATTTCAAAAACCAAATACGAGACCTCAAATTCGAAACACCAAATCTAATGTATTCCAAAACCAATACCAGACCTAAAATGAAGACATGTTTAACATGAGGTCTTCATTCCACCAGGTCTTCTTAGTAAGTATTGTTATACCAGAGCTGTTATAAACCAAGTTCATTAAAACTTACAGGTAATATTATCAACAAAAACCACCTAATAATAACTTAATGAACCTGGATCACACCAAACATATAAGATGTTATATAAATACTTGTTATCATTACAGGTAATATTACGAGTTGTTAAAGAGGTTACAAAATTCAAAAGGATAAGTCTACCCCCAATTTAACACTCCAAAAAAAGCCTATGACTTGGTCAACTTGACACAAGTACAATAGTTAATGTTGTCACCTATTACCCCAAAAACTGACAACTATAATAACATCCAAGTGGGCAAAAATATTTCAAATACAACATTGAAGTCTTCATTCCGCTTTCATGTGTTTTCCTTCCAAGCATTTAAAGTGGTGGTTGACCAACATCACCATGTGCAGCAGATTCCTTCCTCACAGCAGATTCCTTCCTCATTTTGGTCTTGTTTAACAACTCTCTTGTGCTGATAGCTTTCTTTCCCTTCCACTGCAAACCAGGTGGTTCAAAGGGCAGGTTGGTAGGTTTTTTGACTTGAGCTCCATCACCCTTGAAACTTATTGTTCTATATGCTGGCACATCAATATCCTTTGCAAATCTACCAGCACTTCTAATTTCCTTCTCATTTGGAATTGCAAATCTGACATTCACATCAGGGTCATGTGCCACCTCATGAGTGAATTCAGAAACAAGTTCTTCACTATCCATCCCAGGCTGCATTCAAAATAAGACATCACTTTAGGTACATCAACTATGATAGGTTGAATAACACACCAAAACTGCAGTTTCACTAAAATTACATATTTTTTAGGAACATGAACTCACATTTATTGTCTTTGAACCAGTGTTGACATCAACATAGCACCCAAATCCTGTGACAGGTTGTTTACCTTTAGACCTGGCCATTCTTCTACATGGAAGTTTGGACTACCTCGGGTCCGGTGGGGCCGGGGTGTTACAGGTGGTATCAGAACAACCCTGCGACAGTGTGCTGATCCGTTAGATATCGGGCAGACACTTAGCAGGGGAGAAGATTCTGGAGTTTGATTGAGATTGGTTTAAGGGCGCAACGAGGACGTTGCGATCCTAAGTGGGGGTGATTGTAATACCCGAGATTAATTTAAGAGGATTAATAGTACTACTCATACCAACAGAGGTGCATCTCCTTTTAAGGGAGCTCATCACCCAAGAACTCCAAAGTTAAGCGTGCTTGCACGGGAGTAGTCTTGGGATGGGTGACCCCCTGGGAAGTTTCTCAGGGCGCGCATGAGTGAGGACAAAGTGCGCGGTAAAGGCTCGTGGTGGTTTGTGAGGACAGTACTAGAGGTCCGGAGTAACTACCTCGGGGCCTGCGGGGCCGGGGTGTTACAGTTGGTCTCTTCCTTTGATTCACACCACCAGGTGTACTCCCAGTTGCAGGAGTAGGCTGTTCCCTTGATTCATTATTTTCCTAATAACAACATTAATATATATGAATATGAATCATATTAACTCCTCAGAAATAACATAGAAAGATAAATTATACAATTAGTCATAAGGATAATCAATATCCTATTTAGAGTCACTGAAATATGTAGCTTAATCGATCATTACAAATCAAACCTACATAAACCATCATAATAACAATCTTTATGTATACTGAAAAAGCCATGTATAACTTACAGGTTGTGTACTAACAGTTGCAGGAGTAGCCTGTTCTCTTGATCCATTTGTTACCTAATCAGAATTAATCATCATAAATATGAAACACAGAGTAATGATAAAAGCAGACTTATGACTCCCAAATAGTAATTTGTAACTTACAGGTATATCTTTATTAGGACATTTTGCCCTCTTATGCCCCTCCAGATGACATATTCCACACGTTTGGATTTGTCCTTTTCTTGAAGCTCTATGGGATGATGTACTATCAACCACTTTTGAACCACTACCGGGGCCTTTCACCTCATTTGAGCCTCTAACTCTGTTCTTCTTTGGTCTGCCAGGTAAGTCAGGAACTGGGGGAGGTAGAATAGGTTCATATTCATCCACTTTCATGAAAGCCTTGCCGGGGACAGGTTGCAAAGGGTATTGATAAGCTCCCATGTATGTTTCTTTATGGTACCACCTGGATATGTAAGAAAGGGAGTCTTCCTTCTTATAGTATAATGCACACAAGGCATGTAAGCAAGGAATTCCAGTTAATTCCCAAGCTCTGCAAGTGCAAATCAATTTTCTAACATCACTGTGTGTTTATCTTCACCCTCTCCAATCTCAAAGCCCACATCACCATTAAAAATGATATTGCATCCTGTGGCAGCGTCCTTATTAGCTTGATAGTACTCCATGCATGTGGGAGACCAATCATTTATCCACTTCTCATTACTTCCCTTAAAATCAGAAAGCCTTTTCATTGCCTTCAAGCGTATATCTTCCAGCATACTCACAATGGGTTTTGCCCTAGCTTCTCTGATCCATGCATTAAATGACTCTGTGATGTTATTATCAATTCAACCACCGAGCATTTGCTTTGGCTACTAAAGTATGCCCTGAACCATGTTTGAATAAGATATTTCAAAACATCAGAAGCAGCTTCATTACTCAATTTTCCAAGCCTTTTTAAGTTGTTTTGCAGCTCTTCTTCATATGTGCTCCATGCACATATCCAGAATTTCTTACAGAACTGGTCACCTCTCCATTTCTTAGACCAATTTGCGTACACATGTCTAGCACAAAACCTGTGCTCTGCATCTGGGATCACATCCTGAGCTGTTATGATTAACCCTTTTTGCATATCTGAGATAAGGGTTAAATCAGAACCAGTCTTCAGATCTAGTTCTTGAACAAGCCAGGTTAGGAACCACCTCAAATTGGACTTGTTTTCTTTATCAGTTACACCCCATGCTATAGGAACCATTTGGCCATCTCCATCCACTCCAACTGCACTCAGCAAGATCCCCCTAGACACTCCCTTTAAAAAACATCCATCAACCCCTATGATTCTCCTGCAACCTGCCAGCCAATTCAGCCTCAAAGCAGCAAAACATATAAACATTCTCTTAAAAACTCTCTTTCCTTCTTTCAATGCAGCACTACATAATTCTATTTCAGCTTTAGAACCTGGATTACTTCTCTTTAAAGTCGCTGCATAAGCCTCCAAATATCCAAACTCAGCCTTATAACTCCCATCCATCTCCTGGGTAATCAGTCTCTTTGCTCTTTTGCATTTGTAGAGGCTGACATTTATCTTTAATTTCTTTTCAGCCTCCTCTTTCATATCTGCAACTCTGAAGTTAGGATTTTTTTCCAAGTGACCTTTGAAATAATTTGCTAACCATTTCTGGCTAGCACTTGGAATTGAGTAATGCCTGAAACACTTGCGTTCAGGATTACAAACCTTTACTGCCAAGCCTTTGTTCTTGCCATCTTTAGATATCCACAGTCTAAAGGGACATCCCTCCTCATTCAGACATTTAACAGCCAAACGGTTTGTCTCATTTGGTTTTATTTTTAGCTTGTACCCAAATTTGACTCCATAATTAGCTATTGTTGTTCTAGCCTCTTTCACATCTTCAAAAGTCATGCCATTCATGAAACTCCCAGATCCATCATTCACACCATTATTCTGGGTGGCCTCATCATCTGAGGAGTCCTCAGATTGGTTGCTCTCAACCTCCTCCTCTTCATCCCCTCCATTACAGTCTTGATCACTTTGATACCCATTTGGGACACCACCAGTACAAACTTCACTTGGGTCTCTAACATGTTCACTGCCACCATCAGATCCTAGCCCATTTTGCCTTTCATCATTCAGGTTGTCACCATTGTGGTCTGTCACACTAATCCCTTCTATTAGGGGAATTAGAAGTGGTTCATCCAGTTGATGATCAGCAAACAGTTCTATATCATCAATCCAAGAGAAGTTTCTAATACGATTAAGCACCTTGCTTATCATGTCATCATCTTGAACTAAAAACAGCCCATTTTCCATGTCTTTTCCAGGTTCTAACACATAAATGTTTTTTAGAGTTTTAAAACCCAAATCATCCTTATATTTTCAAGCTATGTCATGATAACACAAATAGTCAGGGTCAAATCCATATATGGTATCCACATCCCCATTCACGTACTGTAAAGGCTTCAACAGCCACCTCCCGCTATGGTTAAACCTCAAGTTGACCAACCCACTCATTTTTACACAGAAAGTTACAGGAACGGAATACCTTAGTAGAGTGTTTCAACGGCGTTCTTCAGCTTTGCAATCTCAAATTGCAGTCCATCAGCCTCTTATCTTCTCCACTGAGTGCGATTTACAGGCCTACAAATTTTACTTAGGGTTGAAATTGGGGTTCTATGTTTTCAAGCGGGGAAATGGGCGTTTTGTTAGGGGGAAACAGATGTTTAACAGGCCAGATAGAGGGTGGCTAATAGTTAAGGTAAAGGTTTTATTTTGTGTTTTTTTGGTCCATCATAAACCTCAGTGTCATATACGAGATTCTTTAAAAACCTTGGTGTCAATTTTGGTCCTTTTCCCTTCTTTCTCCTGATAAACCATTGCACCTGCTATTTCACTTCTTGAAGGTCAGGTATTCTTCTTAGAAGTGGTAGAAGAATTAGCAGCAACCTGTAGAGGTTTGGGATGCTTTTCAGCTTCAATGGGATCCAGAGACATCCACTCACTTGAGATGGTGATGGTTAAAATGGGCCAGTTTGGAGTGGTTATGAGAGATGTGAGCACAACGCTACCTCCATAAATAAACACATCATCTGGAAGGAGCCCTGCACATAGCCTATGATTAAGCCACAATTGCAGATGAAACCAACAATATCTTTTGCCCTTGCCAATTCGTTTGAATATGGAAGGAGGGTGAATTGTCAAAAAATTAACTGAGAGCAATAGGACTATGGGAAGCGTTTGTCCATCTATTTTAATTTAGTGCATAACAATGCACTCAAAGCAGGTAGTAATATCTGTAAAGACTATACAAATGTTTAGGTGCATTCCACATTTGGCAGCATGTGCAGAGAAGTGCTTCCCAATCGTTTTACGCCGAAAGAATTGTCCGGCTTAGCTTGTGCGTTATCGCTGAAAGAACTGCGAGAGACGTCTCTGGGAAAGCGCCCGAGCGATGAAAATCCAAGGTAGGTGTCACCATCTCTAAATTTTTGTTGTGCGTATTCAATTTCTTTGTCTTTGAAATTACTTCCTTCATTATCATCCAATCTCCTCTTCCATTAAGTTTTCCAATTTGTCTTTAAAAAGTACCATCGAATTAGGGTTTTGCTTTCGCTTTCAGCTGCCTGATCTGTAGATGGAAGCAAAATTCAACTGTTTTTTACAAATGTATTTAGGATTTGGCATTGGTGCGGCACGCATCAATCCCTCTCCCTAGACTTTGAGAGACTACTTTCCCAATTTCGCAGTTTGAATGCTTCATTCTTAAATCATGAAGGCAGGAACGTGTGCACATAGAATTGTGTTAAATTTTGGAACCATAGAATAGAGGGGTTAATATTGGTTATTTCTATAAAAATGGAATTAATGGGAGGCCCATTCGAATAAAAATTGATTCTATTTGTAGAACTGCAGATTTGCAGTTCAGTCATATAGATGCATTATGTGTAAACTACGTACTATAAAGTAAGTTTAGTAGATCAAGTGGCCAGTGGCCAAGAATTATTGAAGTAACTTTTCAAGTAATGTGATTCTAGTAGCTATTTAGTTTTTATTTGATAATTTTCACAAATAACTGTATTTGTGAATTTTAGCTTTCTTTGAATGGTGTCTTCACAAACCAGTTCTATAAAAAAGTGTGGGTTAATCTTGATTGTAATGATTGCTTGAGTAAATCGTAGAGCTTGTTGCTGGTTAAAATCAAGTTAAAAAATAGATTTTTTGTTGGTTATAAAACTGTGCTTTTAAAACATGGATTCTTATGTGAAAGACACACTCATAGATCCAGAAGGATACAATTAAGAAAAAGTAAACTGCAAATAAGAATATATATTTACAGAAAAACAGAGAGATCTTAAATAGAATAATAAAAAAAATTGAGAGTTCTAAATAGAATCAGTCTAAAAACAGAGAGAGATAAACAATGTGTAGAGATATTCTTAAACGTAATACTATTTGAAGGCTTAGTTTTATTATAATAGAGAACTATGCTTAGTATAGTTTTGATCTGGATCAAAACTCAATTTCATCAAGAGGCAATATTTCTAAATACAAAAGCGTATAACGAATTCAATTTCATTAAAAAAATGCCTTTTAACTAGAATTGCACACATCAAAACTCAGTTTCATAACTATTCGAACTTAAAGTAGTACTGGAATGTTATCTTAAGCATACTACCATATTCTTACGTTCTCGTCTAAATTATCATTTTAATGGCTAGCCTCAATATCTCTTTTTAAATTATGTTTTTAGAAGATATAATAAAGCACCCTTCAAATACAAACCGAGTGAATTTGTGAAATTAACTGGCATGTTAAAAGAAAGGGAGATTGAGTTAAATAGCATTAAATGCTTAGGTGGTATTTCTTTGTTGTAGAAATAGCCTAAATATTATGGATTTGAGTTGAGGTTGAATATGTTAAAGATGCTTATAGTATACTACGGAGTACTATTTAACTATTTAGAGCTAACTTTATTTCAAAAGGTACGGTCACACATATTTAATAAATGAGGGGTGTTTTTTTTTTTAATTGAAAATGAGGGGATGGTTTGTTAGACATAAAATGGAGGGTGGTAGAAAATCCAGCCTTCGGTTTGCTTCCAATTGGGCTTAAGCTGTCAATTTTTTCCTCAGAAACTTCATCATTCAGGGAAACATTGATAGTTGAAGGTAGCTCATTCATACTTTTCCTTTCTTTGCTCTGCAATATGTTTGCCATTGCTATAATGAACTTTTACGGTATGTCTGGAGGGAGGGGTTTCCCCTATATTCAAATCAATTCAACCTTTACTTTTTTTTTTTCCAATTGTGTGTAAGGTCTATGTTTTTATCCTCAGAAACTTCATCTTTCAGGTAAACAATGAAAAGAGGAATGAATTTATTCAAAAAGCTAACACTTGGAGGGAACTTGAATCAAACACCAAGAAACTTGTGAGATTTTAGCTTTGAATTTGAAGTAATTTACTCCGTAATACATAAAGTAGTGTTTACGTCATGTTGTTAGAAACCAAAATGGCAAAATCTGGATTTCAACATTCCATGTTATTGATTGATTTTAGCTTTTCTGCATTTATTTAACCCAAATTATATTACCATAAGACTTTTTACTTATTTCAAGAAGTATATGTTTAAAAAAATTAAATGGGATATTGCTCCTCATATGCGGTATATGTCACATTTGTCATCATAGCTCAATCTCACAATCAACTTTAGAGAATTAACTTTAGAGAAGCACAATGTAGCTATAAAAGCAAGTTCTAAAAGATAAGTGCAAACACAATCTCACTGAAATGCACTTAATGTTTGCTAAATCGATTTAAGACATGGTCTTAATCACTAAGCGCAAGTGCTATATTAAAATGTGGAATTTCAATGTAAAAGCTGATTTTGATAGGAAAAGTCTTCCGGGGTTTATATTTGTTTGTATCTTATATTTGGCCAGTTGAAATGACTAAACCCATATAGACAACTTTCAATGTTTTTTTATTTCATTTCGGGTAACACATCTAAGCCCCTACCAAACCCGTCTGGGTCAACTGTGTAGAGCTTTTTGAACACTAGTCTCCCCTTGATTGTTTGGTATCACTTACTATTCCATCTTGACTGACATATTTTAATTCTTAAACTGTTATATTATGAGATAAATTAGTGACAATAGGACTCTAAATAATTAATAATCTAAATCATTTACCAGATTTGTATATAAATGTATACAGAGTATGAAATACTGATTGTGTATCGAAGTGAAATAAAAAAGGCTTGTCATGAACTTTTACTGCTGTGAAACAAGACAAAATACTTGATAGATATTTTGAAATACGTACATTGTTGTCAACCTTCAATATGAAACAGTGATGTCTTATATTGAGTAGTGCTTCTTAAGTTGTGGTTTAATTTTAAGATTCAAGATGGTTATTTGTTGTTAATAAGGAGTTGTCATTTTATATTTTTTTTGCTACTCCTTTGTGAATTTTAAAAACATTGTGTTATTATATGTCATGTCTTACTAGTTGGATTCATTTGGTCGGAAATAGTTGATTGGTAGTAGCTTGATTTATAAAGTACACTTGAAAGTCATTTACTAAATGCTAAATATTCCAACTATTCCAACTCATAATTGGCAGTTGGTAGCTGCGAACTGTTCTAGTGCATTTCCGTTGTTACATGCATGTAGGCTTTGTTCTTTGGCACAACGGGTATGGAGCCTCATGAAGTGCAAGTTCTTTTCATTAGAAGGCTCAGAATTTATCAAATGGTTTGAAAACATTTTTACTAGTGTAAGGGAATTGTGTTATTCTGTGTTTATTTTGGTTATGAGGAGAATCTGGATTCTGGAAGGCATGAAATGCAAGCTTATGGCAGCAGTCCTCTATACCAGCAAGGAAAATTATTGCTGGTGCACTAAGTTATGTGGAGGCATGGTGAAAAGCACAACTTGCAGAGAATAGGCCACAGCAACAAGGACAGCCACCTGGGAGACGTATGGGGAGGGTCAAAGTGAACACAGACAGTGTAGCTAAAAAAGGTTTCGACAATATTGGCATAGGTTGGGTGGTGAGAAATAGTGAAGATGTTGTTTAGCTGGAAGTGCAATCAACCAATCAGGGAATGTTCTCGAGGGAGGCGGAGGCGCTGTCAATGAGGGAAGCGCAAGTGAAAAAAGCACACAAAATGTATCTGAGACTGTATTTGTAAAACTTATCTTTTTGAATTTCCAAACACATGCTCCGTTTAAAATTTTGTTTTAAATCTCTTAGTTGTTTAACAGAGGCATGGACCGGTTCACGGTTCAAGATATGGGAAGCCCGGAACCGGCCCGGGTAACCCCTGGGTCCGGTTCGGGCCGGGCCGGGCCTCGGTCCAATGTAATTTTTTTTTTGGCTTCTCCTAATTAACTTCCAACCCTCCTCTCACCCCCAAACCACCTCAAATGGCCTAAAATACTCAGCTCAACCCAAAAACTTAAAAAAAAAAAAAAAAAAAAGTATATTTGGCCCGGACCGGGCCCGAACCGGCCGGGCCGGTTCACAATTCCTAGGGCCCGAGCCGGACCGAATGATTAGCGGGCCGGGTTGACCCGAACCGCCCAATGGCCCGGTTCCCAGGCCGGGCCGGTTCAAGCACTGACCGGTCCGGGCCGGTTCCGGGGCCGGCCACCCGGCCCGAGTCCATGCCTAGTTTAACATTTGTGCTGATCCTTAGCTTTAAGCATTCAAAGTTTAAAGCTATAACTAGGCCTGGACTGAACCGGGCCGGTTCGGGCCTCGGGCTTGGTCCTGGCCGGGCCTCGGTTCAGAATATTGAGGCCCGAGCCCGAACCGGGGGTGGCCGGTTCCGGGCCGGGCCACCCGCCCTTTTTTTTGGCTTCTTTATTTAATCCCCTACCCCTCTTCCTCAACCCCAAACCACCTCAAATGGACCAAAATACCTAATCTAACCCAAAACTTAAAAAAATATCAAAAAAAAAAAAATATTTCCGGCCCGGACCGGGCCCGAACCGGACGGGCCGGTTCACCATATGGAAGGCCCGGGCCCGGAACCGGGAACCACCGGGCCGGTTCGACCCGAACTGCCGGTGGACCGTGCCACCGGGCCGGGTCGGGCCGGGCCGGTTCCGGGCCGGGCCGCCCGGCCCGAGTCCAGGCCTAGCTATAACCAAGGAACTTAAAAATATTTTTTATTTTTATTTATTTTTGATGAGTAAGTGATGTGGGAGGTTAAATCCCCTTTTTGCTAAAGAATAGCTGGAAGGCCAATAACTAAGAGAATTTAATCATCTCAGTGAGTTTGGCTGGAGATAGAAGCAAATCACATGGGTATAACCGTATAACCATAAGGCTTGGAATTGCCCAATACTGTTTTAGACTGTTTACTCAAATAGAGATAATTGTATGTTATGTTTACTTACGAAGTATTATTTGAGTATTATTTACTCTGAGTAAATTACTCAAATAGAATAGCTTTTAAACATGATTGTTATGTTTTTGTTTTTAAGCAGAAAGTTGAAAAGTGTTCTAGTAACTACACCTCTAATTTTAAAAGCTAGACTAAAATACACATAATTACTAAGCAAGGTCCGTGTTGGTGATTTTTTATTTAATATGTTTGTCCGCAGGATTTGTGTGGGGTGTGTGGGTCTTTGCTATTGAGGCGGTTGTTATGACTTTTGAAGTTATGATCATTATAACGTCTAGGATTTATATACCCATTTCTCATATGTAGGTGTGTTGCGCGTAAAAAAATGCTTACTAAGACTCTAGATGGACGTTATTTTTTGCTCCTTTGTTGATTTCTGTTGGTGGAATTGGTGGAATTTAAGGGCGGGGCTGTATTGAATTTTTTTCACACCATTCTTTGTCAAGAGTGAATTATTATTGATAGAAAATGTGCAATTCAAAGGAGTCATGCATACCAAAAATAAGCTACATAAGGATTGTCATATGGGGAACTAAAAAAATACACCTGAACTCTAAAAAATACACCAGAACTACAAAAAACACTAGATACAATCCAAATATAAACGAGGAAAGCGTCAATTGAGTACACGAACTTGTATGATGTGGAGTAAAGAGTAGACTATATTGCATTTGAACTTTTTAAGTACACAAGTTCGGGGTTTTACTGTTAATTGAGTACACTTGTTAGATTAACACTAGTTGGCTAATAGAATGTTGAGGCAGTTGAGTAAGAAGGGTTAATGAACCAAGGTTATGGCGCCGACTTTCACGAAGTTGACCAAAAAGGAAAAATCGGCATTCGGAGGTTGTCCTGCGGGGGGCGTCGGCCAACGTGCATCAATCAAGGAGAAGTCGACCTGCGGGGGACTAACGTCGACCAAGGGGAAGTCGATTAAGTGGTTGGGGGCTGGCGTCGACCTTCAAGAAGTAGACCTATTAGCGTTCTGTAAGCCAACTCAATCGTATTAACGTGTTAATCTAACGGGTGTACTCAATTGACCCTTATCTCAAATATAAATTGCAAGGGATTAAAATTGTTTTAACATGATTATCCAACTGTACTTTCTGTCTTCTCATCCTCTTTAATGTGCGAAAACATACAAAGCATGAGCCCCATTTGTATGATACTCCGGGATTATTGCGGGACATACACTCTCAGTATTCATCCCAATATGAAGCAATTCGGCACAATTTCAAATAAATATTGCACAAGCGCCCCTGCATTTTTGGATTAAATTATACGTAGTACTAAACATTGGGTTATGGAGAAATGGTCTCAAAGATTAATTTGGAGTCAAGGAAGAGGAACTCAAAAGCATATACTTCGGTATTACTTAAGTATTACTTCCTCATTTCTTTTTTAAATGGAACAATCCACTTTTCACGATTGCCAACACACAAGTTTGACCATTAATATCCTTCATACCTTATTAGTAAAAACATTAAAAAAATAGATTTTGAACTTCAAAATAAGAAGAGTTTAACAATATATTTTTAAATTTAATATAAATAAGAACGTGTGAATGGTGAGAAAAGTTCACTGCGAATAATGAGAAAAGTCCATTGTTGCATTTAAAAAAGAACGAATGGAGTATGTATTTTGTTTAGTCAATGAAGATTCCATGCATTATATAAATAAACAAGGATACACACCAAATACAAATCAAAGCAAAAAGAAACGGAAGGAAAAATAGACTTAAAAGATCATTCCTGTAACCCAAATTAATGAACTCACATGCATGAGTATACAAGATACATATTCCGTGTATCCAAACTGAATTTCAATGTAATAAAATTCAAATAGACAAACTCAGAAAACAAAATGAATTATGCTAACTTTATGAATAGTTTACTGAATAATTATTACATTCAACAAACAATTGGATTGAATTTTTATACATTCATCAATCATCTTCATTAGTATGTTCATCTAGTGGTTCCTATTAAAACATCATTTTCATATTCTTCCCTTAAACTTTAAAAGAGAGTCAATCTCATGTGTTGTTTTAGACAAAAATGGATTACCATTTCATTTTCTTTGAAGAAATCAGAATTCATTTGTTTAAAAATGTGTGCAACAAACGTGAGGTATTAAGGAAGAAGTTAAGAACTCAAACCCCAACTCTAAAAAATTGGCATGAGAGGAATCATAGGTTGGTCTATTGCAGCATAATAGAAGAATAGTTTTCCCACAAGAAGAAAAACTCATATCTTCATATAGTGCTAAATAAACCGTGCTTATACTGATTCAGAAAGAATTGTAATGATCAAGAGCTGCACACATAGCTTCAGTCCCTGGTAAAGAAACAGATAAATGTACTCCGTAGTAATTACTAAAGTTCAAGGAAATTCTTAATCTGAATAGTTTCTCTGTACTATAACTATTAGTCTGTTACAGATAGGGGCATTTCTCCAGGTGAGATCCATCATCCATCCATTCTGGTATTAAGAAAACGCTTGATGATGTAATACCAGTAATTAATAGGGAAAAATGACAACAAATAAGATTACAATCAAACATTAAAATAAAGGCTAACATACTTAACATGCAAATTTGATCAACAATTAGTGCAATATGTAAAGGTTTCATCATAACTCATAAGTGCACCACCTAAGGCTTCCAAGAACTCACCTTTCTGCCCAACATCTGTGGAGCCAAGCCATTGATGGAACCCTCCTGGGACTTCATCATCTGCCCTCAGACACCATCAACTCCTAAAATGTACTCCCATCGATACAGTTTTCCCTCAAATTTGAAAGTGTGACATAAGTATAGCACGCCAAAACCTTATTCATATCACCTGCTTCATTTACCCAAGTCATCAAATTGTAGCATTCCTTTGCGTATTAAGTATGTTTTGCTACAAAATGCAGATGGATGCTACTATTAATCATTCACTGATTTATTTTGTTGTTTTTGTAGTTATATCTTGTGACTTAGGCAGTCTTAGTCTTTTCTATTGATGTCCACTTAAGAAGTGAATTCATTTGTTTCTTGCTCTGGTGGTGTTCCATCCCCAATTGCTAACAACCCATTACTTTATAGGTTCATATCTGAGTGCTAAAATCCAGATGCTAATTTAAGCTCACAGCTTGAGATGACAATATTAAAACAATAACCATAAATGATACAGAGTACATTGATAGAATCAGATAGATAAAGAAAATATAGAAACCTTAAAAATCCTTGTGCTAAGGAATGCAGAAAAAACTGCAGCAATAACCTGTTTTTCTTTTCCAGAAAAATATCCACAAATGCAAGAAAAGTTGCTTTAACTGCTAAATAATGCATGAAAAATTGCCATCCAAAGCAGGACAAATGTGCAGCATAACATTCTGATTTTTGCAGAAAAAGTCTGCCTACCATGCAAACAAGCTGTCTAAATCAAGCAGTTACGGCAGGCTACAACTTGCTAATCAAATGGAGAAAAAATGACAATCTGTGCACGGAAAAACTTCTATGAGAAATAGAAAAAACTGCAGCAACAACCTACTTCCTATGATTTTTTTTCCAGTACCAAACACAGGAAGGTCAGAAAACACTTTCCTCTCAACAGTGTCTGAATAACATATAGTTCCTATTCTATTGAGAATCTGGATTATGAACTTGAGGCAATGTGGTTCAAAGGGTGTCAAAGTTTTCAAAAAGAATGAATCATTAACGCATTCTCTTAGATTTTACTTTCTATTTAACATAACTACGATAAGACCTGTTTAATGTATGCACACCGTAAATTATACTCCGTAGATATTAATGAGTGTAATTATGAGTT